TGATGGTGATGGTGATGGTGGTGATGGTGATGGTGATGGTGATGGTGGTGATGGTGATGGTGGTGATGGTGATGATGATGATGGTTACTGCTGTCCACCAGAGTGTCTCTGCTGAAGACTGAATGTGTTACCCCCAAGGCCATGTTGAAGTTTAACCCCCAGTCCCTGTGAACGGATCTTATTTGGAAACAGGGTTTTTGCAGACCTGTCACATTAAGATGATGGCGTTCAGGTGGCCCTGAAAGCCAATCACTGAGTCCTGATACAAACAGATACAAAGAGACACCCAGCAACACTCCATGTGACGATCCGTGTGATGATGGGGAGAGGCGCTGGACTGACTTGGCCCTAAGTCCAGGAATGCCAATGGTTGCTAGCAACGACCAGAAGACAGGAGGGAGGCTGTCCTGGATGATTCCAGGACAGAGACGGGGACAGCCTGTCCCTCCCTGAGCGTCACCACAAGGCACCAGCCCCGCCAACCCCTTGGTCTCAGACGGGCAGCTCCAGAACTGCCAGAGAGCACATCTCTGTGGTGGAGCAGTGGCCTGTGGCCTAGGTAGCTCCATAGCTGAGCCTTCAGTGGGAACCGTACTTGGAATTGTGAATCTGTTCTCTCCGCAGACTGGCAGGACGGTGAGCTAGGGCCTCCTGATGCTGCGGGCCAGTGCAAAGAACGCAGCTCCTGTCCCCGCCGTCAGGAGGGCACACCTGGACCGGCACGCTGTCCAGCACACTGTGGCTGAGCCAGGGCGCGCAGTGGGGGGGGGGGTGTCCAGTGCCTTTCCCATTTACAGTGTTTCCAGTTTGCCATGATTTATCAGAACATGAGCCCGCTGTAGGATAAGGAGACTCCGTGCTTGGTCCCATCCGCCTGGCAAATCCACACAGTTCGCTTCCACAGGCTACGTCCAGACCCCCACAGTTCCATGTCCACACAAATGCAAGGGCCTCCTGAAGCCCAGGCCTGCACACGGGCTCTCCTCCAATCTTTCTAATTTCTGACCCTTACGTCGGAAACCTGCAACGACTCCTGACCTTACAGCAGCATTTCCCAAATTGGCTCAAGGGTCAGAATAGACAGGATGTTCCTTAAAATTATAGGGTCCTGCCGGGCGTGGGAGTGCACACCTGAATCCCAGAGATTTGGGAGGCTGAGGCAGGAGGGTCCTGTTTGAGGCCAGCCTCAGCAATTTAGTGAGACCCTAAATAAAAAATAAAAAGGAGTGGGGGTGGGGCTGAGGCTCAGGGGTAGGGCAGCCTGGTGAGAAGGGGGATCACAGGGGCTTGGAGTCTTCATGTTTAACGGGCACCTGAGCTGCCGCTTTTCCCCAGGCACATGGGGACACTCAGGCCTGGGAGACAAAGTCTGCAAGAGGCCAAAGGTCTTGCTCTCTGACCTCTGTAAGACAGTGCCAACCTCCCTGCTCCAAAGGCACCTCCCTGGGGCCCTGCCTGCCTGTGGTCCTCCAGCCTGCTGCTCTCAGATGGACCAAGCTCTCCGTCGCAGCCTGGAGACACCGCATGACCCTGCCCCGTGCCTCATTTTGAGCCACGCCAAGCTCCGGGTACTTTACACAGAGCCAGGTCTCCAGCCCTTTCTTATTTTTTATTTTCATACAGGGTCCCGCTAAGTTGCTGAGGCTGGCTTTGAACTTGAGATCCTCCAGCCCCCCCCCCCCGTCCCTTGAGTTAGGAACACGTACCCCCTTGCCCAGCCAGTGCTGAGGCTGGGTTTGGACCCGGGTGCTCTACCACTGAGCTCCATTCTCAGGTCTGTTTTAAATCATGTTTTGAGACAACTCGGTGAATTGCCCATGACCCCGGGACCGTTCACCTTGAACTTGTTGTGATCTTCCTGCCTCAGCCTCCTGAGGAACTGCGATGATGGCTGTGCTTCGCCACACCTGGCTTTGGGCTTGCTACTTTTATTTATTTAAATTATTAGTGCAGGAGAGTGAACCCGGGGCCTCTTGGGCACTGAGGCACGCCCAGCCCGGGGCTTTCTTTCAGTTCCTCAAAAACACCAAGATTTTCCCTTAGCACCTGCTCCTCTCTGCCTGGAAACACACACACACACACACACACACACACACACGTACCCACATCATGCACACACATACGCACACACGCGCACACACATACGCACACACGCGCACACACACGTACCCACATCATGCACACATATACGCACACACGCACGCACACACACACATGCACACACACGCACACACACCAATCACCTCGTAGTCCTACGTCTCACCTCCTGACGCTCTCTCCCGTCCATCCTAAGGACATGTGCACAATACACACTGTTCTCATTCCAGTCACCGAATCCCATTTGACCCTTGCTAACATTCGAGGTCAGAAGTGTCACAGGGGAGGGCCCCGTCTCTCTTAGGAATCAGAAGGCCTGCCCACTCTGGTTTCTTTTGGGGGGTGACTGTGGGGAGTACCAGGGTTTGAACTCAGGGGCACTCGGCCACTGAGCCACGTCCACAGGCTCTCACTGAGTTGCTTAGAGCCTCACTTTGGCTGAGGCTGGCTTTCAACTCATGATCCTCTTGCCTCAGCCTCCTGAGCCCTTGGGAGGATAGGCTGGGGCCACCGGGCGCAGCAGGGGCCTGCCCACTCTGAAGCCTGGGGCCACTCGGCCACCCAGCCAGTGGCCTGAAGGCGAGAGCTCCCGAGGGCTGAGCTCTGGCTGCTTTCAGTGGCCGGCCTGGTCATGACGCGGCCTGGGTTGGTGGCATTCAACTTGCTTGTCCCCTCTCCCCGTGTGAACAGTTTTGCTCACAGCGTGGCCCCTCAGTCTTGTGCCTGGCGCAGAGCTAGACCTTGGGCGCACGCGGGCTGGGTGGGTGACTGATAAATGAAGGGCCGCCCCTCCTGCGGCCACTCCACACTGGACGGTGAACCCTCGGCTGTGCGGGCTGCCTGGAGCCTCCTCCGCGGGGCATCTTATTAAAACACACATCCGACTCCTTCCACCCCCGGTTCTGAGCATTTCAGGAGTCTCCAGCAAATACTGGACACCCAGCCTCTGGGGCCACTCCGCCTGCTTCCCATCTGCCTCCAGCCCCACCCCCACCAGCCCACAGCCCCTGCGGACCCCAGCCTGGCCTGCAGCCCTGCAACGCCCCTCCCCAGACTCCCACTCATTCCTGCAGGCTCCGGGCAGGCCCTCCCCCGGAAGCACTGCCCGCCCTCAGGGGCTGAGTCACCCTGGGCTCCACCTGGCTCTGCACCCCGGCCTCGGCCCTGAGCCTCGGCTTAAAATAGTAGCTGGTGCTTCCCCAGAGCCCTCGCGTGTGCCAGGCACCCGGCGCCTCACCTCCTGAGTTCTCACGCCTGTCCCCAACCCTGCCCAGCAGGTCCCCCGGCTCCCAAGCCAGAAACACAGGCTGCTGAGGTACTTCCAGCTTCCCAGAGGCCACCCAGCCACCTGCCTTCACTTGGCTCCTTCCTCCCCGTGGCTCTGATCCTTACACACCCCGACTTGTGTTCTGTCTCCCCCAGGTCCAGTTAGCTCCAGGAGGGGAGCGCAGGGCTCTGTCCTCCGCCCCACCACGGTGTCCGTTTCCCCAACCGCCTGACACACAGCAGCCCCTGATCAACACTGTTAAGTAGAAGAAGGTGGAGAGTGAGGCTGGTGCTGCCAGCCTCTAGTCCAGCTCCCCTGGAGGCCAAAGCAGGAGGACCACTGGAGCCCAGGAGTCCAAGCACAGCCTGGGCAACTCTGTGAGAACCCACCCCCAGCTCAAACACGATTTATAAAGTTAAAGACAGTATTCATATCACCTTTATTTCACCCCCGAGGAAAGAGTGGTTCAGATGTGCAAAGGGCCTGTGGCTGGTGGCTGGTACAGCCAGATGTGACGCTGGGTGGTCACTCAAGTGCCCGCCCTTTGGTGCTGTGCCACTCTCTCCCTGGGTCAGGCTTCTTGGGCAGGCGGTGAGTTCCCTGGGGGCAGGAACGGTCTGACTCCTGTTTGGTTTCCTTGTCTGAGCCTTGGTGGGTGTTCAGGGGGGTTGGCTGAACCAGTCTCCACGTGGACTGTGACGGTGGATGGCGGGAATCACAGGGGCATCCCTCATGGTTGGCATCCTTCACCTCTGTACCAAGTGCAATGTTATGTACACATGTGGAGCCTATTAAATACTTGATGCGCTAATGAATTCTATGATAGCAATAATAATAAAAATAATTAGATGGCAATAATGACCATCATGGGGAACATTTATAGCCCTATCCTAAGTGCTCGGTACCTGAGTGAAGACAATTAATTCTCTTACTACCCTCATTTTCCAGATGAGGACATGGAGGGTCAGAGAAGTTAAGAACTTGACCGAGGTCACACAGCTGGGTGGCACAGGCAGAACTTGACCGTTGGTATCCGTCCTGCACCAAGCTCTTCGGGACCACTGCAGGCTGCCTCCCAGCCGCTCAGAGAGGCGTTGAAATGTCAAAAAGCGCCTTGCGTGAAAACAAAGAGATAGGTCAGCTAGACATTTCCACTCCACTCCAAGGGACTTCTCTCCAGGGCCGTGGTAGGCACGCACCTGCACTGCGCCTGATGGTGTGCGGAGCTTTGTACACCATCCATCTCTCATCAGGGGGGCAGAGAGCTCTGAGGCTCTCGTTGGTTAAGGGAACAGGGTCAAGGTCACCCAGGCAGCAAGAAGCAGAGCGAGGACTTAAATGAACATCTGTCAGCTTAAAAAATATATGAAATCCAAGCGTTAGATCCAGAGCTTCTCCAGATCCAGAGCTTCTCCAGATCCAGAGCTTCTCCAGATCCAGAGCTTCTCCAGATCCAGAGCTTCTCCGTGCGGCTTAAAATTAAATAAGTCGATCCATGAAAAAAGCACCGAGCAGCTCCTGGCACCTGGGACATCTCTTAAAAATGTCAACGCTCGTCATCTTCATCAACAACCTCTTGAAAACTGGACTTTTTTGGCCGATGAATGCAGCCAGTCGACCCCGATGGAAAGATCCCTTTCTCTCGTTCACCTCGGGTAACGCTGAAATGATGATCAATCCCCATCATCTCTGGGGGACCATAGACTGTTCCGGGCTGGAAGGGAGAGTGGAGATGACCTCATCCGCTGCCTGCCTTCACCCACGGAGAAAAGGTCAGAAAGCAAACACCAGGCAGGGCTGAGCCAGGGGCAAGACTGAGGCACAGTGCCCCCACACCACCTCCCACGAAGAAGATGCTCTTTCCCCTGGAAGGGCATCTGGGTTCCCCAAGTCTACAGGGAAGAATTCATGGGTCCCCCGGCTGTGAGCTCCACCACCCAGCCCCACACAAACTAGTAAAGCATTATAAGCCATTAACCAGAAAGCAGATCACGTGACTTAATTCCACCTCTGCTAAAGGGCTTAAAATGCTTCGGTGAGTAGCCCGAGATTCATAAATAGACACTTCAGCTCTTTTTCAAAGAATTATTAACCAGCTCCATCAGGACTGGAGCTTGAGCAGTCAAGGAGAAAAAGAGCTGGCCCGAGAAATTCCCTGCCAAACACTTTGACCCCCAGGGTCTGCCTTCCTGCCCCCTCCCCACCGGAGTCACAGGAGGAAGGAGAGAAGCATCATTATGTAAAACGGGAACTAAGAAAATGCACCGTGGAAAACTACCACAGGCTCTTCCTACCTCAAAGTCAGATTTCAAAGGAACATCACAGGGAGTTTGCAGAGAAGACAGAAAGGTGGGGAGGAGGATGAAGCAGAGGAACAGCCCCGACTTCTCTCACAGGCTGAGCCCACAGGCTGCGGGTGTGGTGCTCCCGTCTCCCATTTACACTAATGATTTTGGGGAACCTATAATTTATGCAGCCCTGGGATACTCATCTCTGTAGCCCACTGAGCACTAATTCTCCCAGGCGTGGAACCAGCTTTTCATTGTACATGTAGGTCTCCATCAGCTTTAGCTTAAGGATTTGGGGGTGGGGAGGGACGGTGGAGAGAAATGAGATTAGGGTCAGTCTTCAAAGGGAAGGAGCAGGGATAGAAATGCTCTCTGTGCGGTTCCTCCAGGCTTTACACTGCTCCAGAAAGGGTGGAATTCAAGCCTGGTGAACAAGCTTCCAGCCTGTTAACAGCTCCTGGAACGCCAGGGCTGCCCTCCTCCACACCTTTATCAAAGTCAAGCCATTTCCCACATTCCTTCCTTACACAACCCAGGCACACGAGTGAGTGACGCAGGCCTCAAGCACATTCTGCTTGGGAGATCCAGGAAGCTCTGGCCTGGCCCTCCCTTCTGCAGAGGAAAGTCCAGGCAAAGAGGGATGCCACACCTGGGGGGAGGGGAGGGAGGATGTGACAGCACCTCCAGGAATGCAGGGCCCACGCAGGTGCGTTGGCACTCACGAACTTCCTTCTTACAAGGCCTGATAAATCAGTACCGATAACAGTAATAAAGCTCAGCCACCCCACAACCAGTCACACAGACCCGGCTGCTCCTAGGGCGCGGCCCCCACCCCCAATGAGGAGAGGAGGGTGACAGCTGAGACTGCAGGTGTCCTTAGAGGTTGTAACAAGTTTTCTAGTTCAACAGTTATCGCGGTGTGCTCCAGGGATCCCCGAGACCTTTTCAGTGGGTTCAAAAGGCCAAACTGTTTTCGCAATCCGGTCATTTTTTTCCTCATCCCCTGCTGTCTCATAAATGTACGATGGAGTTTTCCAGAGAGGACGTGACATGTGATGACGTCATCACAGGTGACTCTTGAATAGGTGCTTCTGCATTCTTGTGTTTTAAACCTCTCCGTTTTAATTCTAAAATGATACTGACAGAGCCCACGTAAACAAAATAAGTTTCCTGTAAATTTTAAGATTCTTTTTAGTTGCAGTTGGACACAAGAATCTTCATTTCTTTTTCTGTGGTGCTGAGGACTGAACCTAGGGCCTGGCACGTGCAAGGTGAGCGCTCTACCGCTGAGCCACAAACCCAGCCCCAGTTCCCTGTAATTTTTTAATACTGTAAAATTTGAGACCCCAAAAGTTGAGAACTGATGAACTAATTCAAACAGTTAAAGAGTGTCAAGCTGGTGGCCGTGCATCACACTGAGTTTGAATCACATCAGCACTTTCTACCAGAGGGTGGGGAAGCAGCTTACCATTCCATCAGGGGGCCTGACAAGCCTTAAAATCTTTCTAATTTTTTTTTTGTAGTTGTAAATGGACAGAATGCCGTAGTTTATTTTTATGTGGTGCTGAGGATGGAACCCAGTGCCTCACACATGCCAGGCAAGTGCTCTGCCACTGAGCCCCAGCCCCAGCCTTAACATCTCCACAAACACTTGATGAGCTGGATCCTCCAGGAGAAGGATGCTCCTCACTTTTGAACCGGGGAGCAAAGGTAGCCAGGAAAAACCAACCCAGCTCCAGCACCCGCAAACACAATTGTGTCAGGCTCTGTGCCAAGCGCTCCCTGTGGGCAAAGCACAAGTGGGAGTTCTCATTCGGGGTGGTGGCAGGTCATTCGTAAAATTCAAAGAGAAATGAGAAAACTGGAACTTGCCAGAGGCTGGGCAGGAGAGGTACAGGTATTAGGAGGGGTTCGCCGTGAATGACGCCCCTATGCCACTTCCCTCCTTGGAAACCCCAGCTTGCTACCAGCGCAGCCGTGTCCTGGCTCCCGGTTCCAACCGCTTTGAGCCTTCAGGGGGTGGGGGCTGCTGGGTCCCCCGCAGCCATAGTCTGCAATCTCGCCCCCCCAGGGCGGAGAGAACGGTCGTGCGAGAGCCCCAGCCCGGGGGTTAGAGCGCCTTGGGCCTTCGGTTACCCGGGGACACGCTCGGTCACTAAGGGAACTGAACACAATCCTGAAGCTGGCGCTGTGGAAACAGCAGCCAAGAATGGCTGGAGGCAGACTTCAGAGGTTCAAAATAAGAAGCAAGCCCCGAGAGGCCGCGGCAAACTGCTCGGGCAGCCGGGACCTGCGCGGAGCCCTCCGGCCTCGGCCGCGTTCCTCTTTTCACGGCGCGCACCCGGCGCCCGGGCCCTGCTGCAGGGCAGGGAGGTGCGAGCGGCGCCCGAGCACCGCAGGCCGGGACCGAGGTTCTCCCCGGTAACGCTGCACACGCGGGAAAACTTGAATGTTGCAACCAAGAGTTGCAGCCGACGCGAAAGGGTGGCCGAGGGGCATTCCGAATGGACGAGAAGGAGGGGACGGGGAATCCTAACAGCCCCAAGGTGCCACGGCGACCGACACGGACGCGCGCTCCAACCCCAAGCACAGGCGTCTGACTGGCGCGCGCCAAGCAACGCGAGCTCCAGCTGGGCAACCAGGCGCGCGTCCGCGCGTGCGCAATAAGTTCACATCTCTAGATTCTCCACCAGGTGCGCTCGCGCTTCCGGCCGGTCTCCTAGCACTGCCTTCCCGGGGCGGAAACTCCAGGGTCAGCGCATGCGCCTTCCAGATCTCTTGCTGGGTCCTGAGAGTAGGCGCACGGCTTCAGGTGATCCCGCCCCTCCCTTGCAGCGCGGGACCAATTGCGTGGCTGTGGGCGGGGATTTGGAGAAGGCGGTCCGCCCATGCGCCGGGCGAGCCGTGTATCGATTGGTTGGCGCTGCGAGCGCAGGTGCGCGCTTCCTATTGGGTGTGGGCGGAGCGC